ACAGTGTACGAGATGCCAGATGCTAAATATACATCGGGTCTGTAGGTGTATGGTGGGAGGAAAAGAAATACACCGTTTGACATTCAAGAATTACTTGGATGTTCTAATTTATTTTTAAGTTTGACATGACCTTACCGGGTTTAGAAAAAACTAAATCGTTGGTGCCAGTAAAAAATAATATCGATAGGAAAAATTGTTTAACCTTTTGCGCGATGTGCAGCAAGAATAATTTTTTAAAAAGCTGTGTTAAACTTCTTACTCCGTAAGTTATTCTTCTGTCCGTTTTTTCACGACCATCAGATAAAACACTGCACTAAGTATATTCAAAACAAGCATCGCTTGTACGTGACCAGACTGACTTAAACATTTTCGATTTACGTCCATCCCCGACAGGTCATTCAATGCTAAACAAACCTTGGCGTTCCTTAAACAGTTAAACTATATAGATCAGATGTGACGGTAAAAAAAAACCTTTAGGTTTAATAAAGAAAATGCAAAACCATATAGACCAGTAGACCACACACACAACACGAATGGATTGATTTGATTTTTAAAGTGACCAACTGCCGTTATATTTTTAGAAGTTTTTAATTTTCATCGAGACGAAAGAAACTGAAACCACATACAAAAACAAATAGTTGATAAGACCTGTATAAGTAGTTTTAATAAACAAAATATAATTTAAATATCAAATTTATCAAAATAATTAAATTGAAGTCTTAAGTAAATACAATTATATTTCTACCAAAATAACTTTTAAAAATAAACAGTAACTATGTAGGTAGCAGTCTTCATAATGTTTTACTAAAGGTCTAAAGATAATATTTACCAGTACTTGTCCTTTCAAAATTACACAAGTTCCTATTTCCTGCCTTTATAACAAGTAGCTCGAAGTAGGTATAATAATTTTTTTTTTCTTAATGGTATTATCAATTTGTATAACGATAGAAAAAAATAATATTTTTTTACATTTTCAGTTAACGTTAAAATATATGACGTCTGCAATATATTAAGTACACGTAATCACTAATCAATAAAGTAAGCTCACAATTTTGGTATGATAATTCATTTGCATGTTACCCGCTACCCCGTCAGAAATCGATCACTTCTGTCCTATAAAACCCGTATGTTGGTGAACTACAACGAAAATAGAACAAAATGTTTGTTCAACAAGGGGAGTGGCCATTATGTTTTAAAGTGCATATTAAAATTTAAAACACACCACGACACTTTTGTGATCAACCGTACGTTTTATTTATACAATATTAATTATACCTACACGCGATTTAAAATACATTATTAATGTGGTAAAACGTATATAAAGTTATTTTTGACCATGTCACATGGGGGGTCGCCGTGTTTCCTATAATAAAAATAGATGACCGAAATTTCCCCATGCAAACGGAGTAATTAGAATATTATAAAAAATGGTTCGAACCATACAAGGAATATTATATTACAGAAATTAATATAAATATACAATATTATGCTTTGTGACTTGAGTAGTTAAATGACGCAGTGGTTCAATTTTATTCAATGAAATCACAGTTAAATGTGCTGTGTTGAAATAAATTGAATTGTTATTTGTTTTATCGTCGATAGCTTCAATTATTCAAGTTTGAGTGTGTACACTGTTGTGATGACAGATACCATATAAATTGGAATTTATTTTCGTTCTTATTAAATTAATTTAAACGTCTTTACACCGATGTCGTGTTGATTGTTTACTAATTGATAATTATTTTTGAAACCCGGAAGTATATTTAACAGACTTTTAGAACATCGATTAAGTGTATTTGCATAATATGCGTCGCATACACCAGCTATATGGTCATATGGAAGTGAACAAACGCACATTCACCTATAAATATTTAAAGAATGCGAATAACGCAAGTATTGAATGCCAATACATTAAAAAAACCTAAATTAACGATTAGTTTATTATATCGTTTCTTCAACATGAACCATTAAAATATTATACATAAACGCAAGTTTCAAACGAATAATACGATGTAACACTAGAAAGACTACTCGAAAAAACATTATTCGGCGTAGGGGTAAACTGGCAAACGAACAATCGATCGATCGACTCACAACTACCCATGTAATATTATAGTAACATGTATACGAATATACTATACGATTAACATGCAAACGTAGAGTGGGCCATCAAGTTAATTCAGATATTTGATAAGTCTTGTTAAATCAATGAATTTGTTGGGCACAAGAAGAACACGTCTTGGAATAATTTAGGTGTAGGGTAGTAGGGATAACGGGATGATGGGTACTGGGTAGGCATTACTCGTGCGTTGTTGATGGTGTTTGGTTATTTTTAAATGGGTAAATGGGATCCCAACAAGTATAATATTATTATTATTGTACGAAATCGGTAAAACCAGTTTGCCCTCTCTGTGTGTGTACTGTTTAGGTATAAGAAAAAAATAACATAATATATTATTAACACGTCATATGCACAGTAGGATGTCTAAAACTCGAAACAGAAAAAACCCATTTTCTAGTCGTGGTTGTGCCGCAGGCTATATTTTAAAAATAAACTGTGATAGTACCACGGACAATACTAACAATAGAATTTATTGTAATTATTAATTTGTAACACAAGACTAGTTCAGCTGCAGTACGACGGTGTGTGCGAATAGGTATTCAAAAATGAATTATTTTCGTGGTAAAACTCAAACGTTTCGTTGCGACACGGTCATAATACAATAAAATGTCATCGTAAGTTTAGTTTGAGTGTTGTATAAATTGGGGGTAAACCTCGTTCGGGAGGTTACACTTGAAAGTGGTTATCACAGTCATATCACTCAAATACATTAAAAGTTATGTACTTATGTGTAATATTAAGTATACCTATTAATCATCGTTTTAATACAAATAAAACTGATCCGAATAGTGTATAGAATTAAGTACTAGCCATATATCTATGGTACATTGGTACTAGCTACCAACTAAAACAAATTCGACATCGACTGCACATAATAATAAAATAAATAAAACACGAAATGCGTTTGGTGTCCCGGACCCCAATTCGTGTTCAATATTTACACGGGAATGATACGAACAGATTTTAGGATCGAGTAAAAAGCTGTGTAAATTGTTTGTCGGCCCGTGTGTTGTAATATTATTCTCGTTACAATCTAAAACGATACGTGGATGAAAAAAGTGAATTTTATTCGTCAGCGGTGTCTAATACACATACCTACTGCAATATTATAATATTATGGTGAAAAAATGTTAGTATACAGTAATGTCTGCTTATTTGTATGCTGCAGTGAAAAGTTAGCAAGTATTAGATTTTAATTACAAGTTTCAATAACAATAATCAATAATCATAATAATATAAAAACAATAACACGGCAGCTCGAAAGCACTGTACTAATAATAATATATCTATATATATACATTATTATGTATAAATGACCGTATCGTATTTTTATTATTATTATTACTATTATTGTGGTAAATTACTATTACTGAATGTCTGCATGTGTTATACAAATTATTATAAATCGGACTAGGCATAAAATTGAAACAATAAAAAAAATAATTAAAAAACCAACGGAATGCAATAATATTGAATACTATTTCGCGTTGCCCTATTGGAACACGCAGAATGGATGAAAGCAGCTCTACACAGCACACACACAGACGCGCGAGCGGCACGTTGCGCGTACTATATTATAATATAGTTATTAATAGTTATTAATATTATAATATTAATATATATTATTATCCCATATTATAGAACTATAGGTATAATCGTATAATATAAATCAATATATTTAAACGTCATGTAATTTGTATACAGGGTCATATGAATTTTAAGTTAAAAAACTGGCGGTGATTACATGTATAATTTTTGATAAAATCCCCGCCAGTTGAATCTAACAATTTCGTCGACCCTGTGTATAGGTATAATATAATATTAATATTCTGTGTATAATAAAATTTAAATAATATTATATCGTTATAATATAAAATCGTGACATGCCAACAAACAAGCTCTCGCATGCATTTCGGTTGGAAGAACATTGTTGTTATAACAAAATAAAAAAAAGAGTATTATATAAAACATGACATAATTATTATTAGGTATATTATGATATAGAGATAATAATATCCAAGCGTGTTGAATTCGGGTGAGACAAACGTTATAGAAGTCGGTTTTTAAAATACATTTTTTCTATTAGATTTCCAAAGCATACATACGCACACCTGCAGTTTTCTGTCATCATTGTCGAAAGTCTGTAGGATTATATCTTCGGCCGAGACAGGTATACCCACCCCGACCTGAAAACGGGCAAGCGTGTCAAGAAAAAAAAGCCGTACCACCAAATATAAATAACAGTATAATAATATTCAAGTAACTTAATAACCTATAGCAATGGTAAAAAATCGAGGAAAACAATTTTAACGCGAATACATTTTTATAACCTTATGTAGGGCACAAACCATATAATATTACGTAAAAATGTAAAATAATATTTATCCACCACACATCAAAACCATGGTATTCCAAAAAAACACCATTGACTATTATAATTATATTATAACATAAGGCACAACATAAGGCACATAACATAGGAACCCTTTTTTTGCGAACCAATGTGCCGGTGCGTATATATATCGGACCTCGGCATCTGGCCAGCACGTGAGTAACGTCCAAGGCGGTGCGATAACACGCGCATCGACCCCCTCGTCGCAACGGAAAAATGTAAAAAATTGAGTAAGTACGTAAAAAATGGGGAGGGAAACACGCTGCGCTTTCGCCAAGTGCAGGTGGAAAAACGAAAAATAATATACGTTCGCAGAACGAGCGCATAACCAGTGGCGTAAACATTCTCTACTGGGTGGCGGTTAGTGGTGGGTGGTGCAAGTGGTGACGGCAGTGTCCCGGGACGGTAATAATATAATAAATTAAAATAACGATATCGCAATAGGTATAATGTAGGGCAAGCGCGGTCGCTGTGGCAATTACTTACCGTCGATTTCAGGGGCACTCCGACGTCTCCGGCGCCGGCGAAATGATGCGACATAGCGGTGCGTCTGGTGCGGTCTGGTGCAGCCGTGCGGCTGTCCGTCGTCGTTAAGGCGCGCTGCAGTGGTGCAGCAGTGGCGGCGGCTGAGGCCGGCGGTCGTGCGGTACGGCGGCGGTCGTTTGGGTGCCGTGGCTACTACTACGACGGGTAGCTGTGGCGGTGCGAAATTGTTACCAGTTTGGCGGTGACACGGTCAAAGGAAAAATTGGACGTGATGCGTGCGGGGTTATAACGGAGACTCGGGAGTTGGATGTCGGGTTGCGAAGGGTAAGTTAATTTAAACGAGAAAACTAAACTATGTCCCGGAGAGGAGATTTCTATTTTTTTTTTCTATCCGTACGCGGACGACACCGCGAGACGTCGGCTACTGCTGATGCTGCCGCTGCTACTTCTACTGCTCAGGTGGTAATAATAGTAGAGTAGTAGTAGTAGTGGTGGTGGTAGTGGCGATGATAGAGTGCAATGATCGACAGCCGCAGCAGTGCGTCGTGAGGTACGGTCCGCTGTGAACTGCCGGTCGCCGGTGGTGTGTAGTGGCGGCGGCGGTCGTCGTCGTCGTCGAGTAGTGCTAGTGCAGCGCAGTGCACCGTCGCGGTCGTCGTAGCTGTCGGCTCTACCCGCCGCCCTCCACGGCTGCTACCACCACCGCCGCCGCGTCCCGGCACGGTCCCAGCCACCGCGCGGACCGTGCGCACGACGACCGCGTGAGCCACGCCTCCGTTTCTCCTCCGCGTCGCAAAAACGAAAACCATTAATTTCCATTCCCTCCCCTCTGGTGGTGAATGGCCGTCGGTGGAGGGGTGGACCCGGAGCGTATCCTAACCACCCGCCGCCAACATCACCCCTTCACCGGGAGCGTAGGTAGATAGGTTTACTGGAAAAAGTTTCGCTCCGCTTTGGCTGCCGAGCGCAGACGGAAGAGTTGACGGCCCACAAGCGTTTCCTCGATTATTATTGTTGTGGTTATTAATAAATAATAATAATAATTATTATTATTATTATTAATATAATAAATAATACGACTACTACGCCACCACTGATATCAGACATCCACTAACGCATCGTTGTAGGTCGTGATGACGCAATCATGACGTCGGTGCCTTGGTTCACGGGTCAGAATAAAAAACGCTAGTAGTTTTTTTAACCCAAACGTCGGGGTGGGTGTCACTGCATATTATAATGCATTGTTTTCGTCACGACCCATATACTCAATGTAGTGTCGCCGAACCAGGTACGCACATAGAAAAGGACTTCTGGGAGGGGGATTCGACCTTCACTATATGTCTATATACGTGCCTGAGCTGAACTATTTTCCAAGTTCAGGGGCAAATATTGAGTATATTTCATACCCACCCTGCCACCCCTAAAAATATTGTGATCTATTATGGAACAATACATAATATCTGTGTTGATTAAGACACCCACTAGTACTTCTAGGGAATTTCCTCATCATGCACTTGGTGTCCATATAATTGGCATTACGGCGGCCGATTAATAACTACTGAAAATAACAGTATAATGTCCATTAAACTATTAAAGTATTAACATTACAAGCCCGTGTGTATTGTCAGTAATACAAGTACAATGCATTATTATATTAGGTGTATGTGTTTATACAAAAGACTCAGCTATATTCATGGGTATAAAATATTTAAATTTTTTATTTAACCAAAGTAATGATTGAAATTTGAATAGGTATTACAATCCGTCATATGTCATCCCGTCCGTTAAGATATTATAAGGTACTCACTTATTTTTTTTAACTTTTACAACAATAGGAACAGCCCGACTCTTTTTCTTAATATCTAGCTCAAGTAGTGAGGCTAGATATTAAGAAAAAACTTTTTGCCTTATGTCATATTATATTTCACTGTAAATGTAATATATTACATTATACATAATATACAATCACTTGCTGAAAAATTAATTAAAAGAATAGATTCGATTTTATAAAAAAAATAGATTAAAAAGTCGTTTTTGAATAAGTCTACTCGTATATGTATTCTTATTACGCATCATTATTATTGCGTATTATGTATACATAATAGAATTTGGTCTTTTGTTCGACAACTAAAACCTACGTTAGTTACATTATAGATCCGAAGCTTTTTTTGCTAATAAATATTCATCGTACACCAAATAGCTCTGTAGCTCGTTGTGTAAATAACATTATATATATACTTAATATTTTATGTGTACAAAAATAAAAAGTATCAAGCTACAAGATAATAACAAACTTAAATTTTATTCTATTTTACTGTTCGTTGAACTTTAAATTTGTTTATGGAACTACCAAATACACACTAATATACATTTTATCTTTTTTGAAGTTCAAAAATATAACGAATCCGACTAAATAATAACATATTATATAAATTCAAACAAAAATACCAAACTTCGCAGCAAAACCACGAGAAAGTTAAAACTATTACAAAGAAAAAATCAAAATGGTAGTTATATAATATAATATTAATAATTATATTTTAACGTACAAAACTTAAATTAAAGTAATTAGTAATAACAAACTTTCAGCAGTAATAGCAATACTTTTTCATTACACGTCTATACAATGTGTCCCGTGAAGAATTTACCATCAGGCGTCATATGATAATCGTTATGAAAAAAACCCCTATAAAGGTAGGGGAGCCGGGGAGCGTCTAACTTCTTTATTTTTTTAGTTATTGGCAATTCAACTTTTTTTAAACAAAATCAAACTTACCGTACATTTTTTGTCATATAACTTCAAAAATGTTTACCTTTTTATCGTATTTTTTTTTATTTTAAAGCTATTTTATTATTCTATTAACTAACATACACAATCAAACCAGAAAGGTATATATTATTTTTATTACATTTAAAAAAAGTAAAAAAAAATAGCAAAAATTAGCTTTTTAAAAGTAAATCGCATATAACAACAAATGGCACTGTATTTAGTAAATACAAATTGTAGTAAATACTATTTAGTATAGTTTTTAATTTTATTTTATTATTTTGCAGAATTCTATTTTTTTAATTTAATAATAATAATTTGTACATTTCTGGTTTGATTGTGTGTGTTAGTTGATAGCACAATTAAAGCTTTAAAAAAAATACGATAAAAAGTTGAAAAGTTTTTAAGATTCATCAGCAAATGTGCGGTAGGTTCGGTTTGAATTGGTCATAACTAAAAAATAACTAATTAATATTAAAAATTTGGCCATAACTTAAGGTATACCATCATATTATGATCCCGGCTGGTCACTTCTTCACGGGGCTCGTTGTATAATAGATATACATTTATAAATATTAAAAAGGTAACAGGTACTATTGGTAAAATCACAAAAAAATCATGTCTGGCTGAACCAAAACACTAAATTAAAATAAATCAAAAATACTATCTTCAGTTGGCCTATAGGCTCATCTGAATAGAAAGGATGAGGTAATTATCAACAGACTCTATCAGTCATATCCGTCTTACATATGGATATCTCATGACAAAAGAAAAAAAACAAATGTACAATCCTTATGGAACAGAACTATCATTCAGCCACATAATCACAGAATACCTCCAGTACGCAGACGAACTGAACAACCTCAAGTTAAAGTCCTCAACATACCCAACACCCTATACTCTGTTCCAGTTAAGAAACGTTGCCGTGAGTGACCAGCTTTCGTTGGTCCACGGTCAGGCAACACTCGTTTATCACCCCTACATTATTATCTGTATACCTGCTGTGGTATATTGCCACTCCCCTGAGCTCAAGTCATCCCCCGACTTTGTTTCTTAACTTGAACAAAGTATAGACACAGCACTCAGACCCGACGTGGACACCACCAAACAAATTTTAAAGTTCTTAAATATAACCAAATTGTACAACCTAATTTAACAAAAAAAAAAAAGAATAGTATTTTATGGCCAATGTCGCAGATTGTTAAGAATTTAATGTTATTAAGAACAATATAAAAAAAAATCATTTCAACATTTTGAAATTTTAAAATATATTGAATCAAATACGTTTCACATCTAAAACTCTGATAGCTGCAGCCTGTTATAGACTTTTTGGTTGTATATGTCTGAGTAAAGTTTTTATAAATGCACGTGTTTACAGATTCACTCCAGTAGTCCAGTCAGAAGGAGATGATCGACAATGAATGGAGAACTATTAAAAAGAACTATACATTTTATCATGAACGACATTAAGTAAAATAGTTAGATACACTAATACACTGTTATAATTATAGATTACATTTTTGCACGACTGACTACGCGTATTTATTAATAATTAGGTTTGCGATAGTCGCGTGAAATGATAAAAATGTTTCCCTAAGCAATATAATATTCCAACATAATCCAGGGGTTTTCAATAAATCAGTTCAATAGCAAGAAAACAGTTGAATAGAAATCTGACGAGTGATGACCCTAAACGCTAAATGGTAGAATAATAATATGGTTGTAATCGGAACCATGACTGTGGAATGTGGATATTAATAACCGATAAAGCGGGCGCGAGTGAAGCCCACTCAGTTGAATTAGCCAAACGTGATCTTGCGATGGATTTCAGATGGTGTATGTTTAATAGATAAAGTGGGCACGTGGATAAAGCAATGGAAAATTACAAGACCGAGAAGTCCTGCAACGAGGAAGGAGGAACAACCCTACCACCGAGGCAGCAATTGCATAGGTCCAGGTGTTTGGGCCAGACTGCAATGGAAACCCGCTGGTACCATCTTGGAACCTCGACGACACATATCGAGGCATCGAATCAACGACGAATCAAGAAATGTTCGATGAATCAGAAACGGACAAGGTATCGTTTTATGTGGGTATTAGCTGAAGGGTAGTTCAGTAGTTGTACATTTTAATATATTTTAAAGCCGACAGCTGTAAGCATCTGAATAAAAAATTATCCCTGCAAGAAGTAGGGTCTATTCTGGGCCAGGACCTCCGATTTGTATATACATCTTGTCCGTGGGCTAATAAACCGTTACATTATGGTGACTTATGTTTGATGTAAAATATTAGACAGTGGACGATCATATTTTAGTCCTGGATCCCGTGATACAGCAGTGGTAGGTATTGGTTAACAGCGGAATGGTATATGATAAAACATAAGTAGTCAATTTACATGACAACAGTAATTAATGGTGATAGGCAATGTACTAATGTCACTGCAGTACCTAACTGTCATAAAATCATAGAATAGATTGCATCCTACTTCGACAGCATGAATGCATGATAGTGCACTAGGTATCATTCTATCTAGATTTGTACTAATATGTACTTGAATGTTCATAATTATTCAGCAATATATTCAATTATATTGTGTTGGGTGTGGATGGGTATGAGATATAAGTCACTTAACCAAAAAATTACAGCCAGATATGTAAGTAATAAGTTGTTTTTTTTTTTTATTAATTAATCCTCGGAAACTTAGGCCATTGGGTGGTTGTTTAATCTGTGGGGGAGGGTACTGTAGGTTTTTGTTAACACGTGTGTTTTTTGGGTTTTGGCAGAATTTCAATTGGGCACCCGTAGCTGGTTTCTGCCATGTCCGGTAGGGGGATGGCGGCTAATAAGTATTATAAAATAGTTTATACACATTATTCATTTGTAAAAATTATATTATAATTTATAGTACATAATAATATACTACATACCCATCGACCTATCTATATTGGACATTTAATATATTAAAATGTAAAAACTAAACTTATACTCAATAGGTAACCATGCAAGATGTGAATCGAATATTCAATGATTAATAATTATGTTTTAAATGATAAAACAATATGGTTTTGAATAAACAACAATTAATATGCACTTTGATCCAAATAATATAATAGTTAATATTATGATTTTGTGTATTTAGTTTTCGGATAGGCTAAACATTGTTAAATAAAACATAGTTTAGTCATATTTTATATTACCTATATCCTATCCAATATGGTTATTAATTAATATAATTATCTAAACTCAAATAGTTGGTAAATATTTTAACTGTATGAAGGTTATATATTAGGTATATATACTTTGATAGCTAACATATACATGGACTACGGTCTACGGTCTACGAGTAGAAGATAATAAATTACAAGGATTGAAAGATTAGAATAAAAAAAAAAAAACGATTTCATGGAGATATAATTTGAAAAAAAAAACAAATAACAATACCATTCAGATAATTATGTTTACATTCTCGTTGACTTAAATAATTATAGGAAAAAAAATTGCATAAATATTGAGTGAGTACTTAAACTTATACACACTCGCGACTTATTGTAAGTTGTTTTGACAATAATTACAAAATTCATCAGGAAACTGTTTGTTATCATACGGAAGATTACAGTAGGTATAAATATGTAAAAAAATAAACTCGTAAAATTATATTGAACTACGAAATTGCAGTGTATGTAAGACTTTAACTGTAAACATATTATTAAGTTGAATACTTTTTAGACAATAAATTATGTACTCAGTGCTACTAAGTACGTATACCTAATACTTTCATACGAATATTATATATTAATTTTAAATATTAAATGATAAAATGGCCATCATGTGATATAAGTGTATAAATGTCATCTTAAAACAAAATTATGACATCCTGCTGTGGTTATCACGCGCAACCAGGAATTTTCTTCCACGAAATACTGAATGTTGGATTCTTGAATTCAGTTTAAACATGATACACCTATAAAATAAGTAATAACTTACTTAACGTAAGAACTATATTATATTATTGGGAGAATCCAATTGATTGCGTACGATTTACTCTTTTGTGAACACGATTGTGTATTTTGGTTGAATAATAATGGAAATCCATAAATACAACACGATTGCGTAGGTACTAAACGTTACTAAATTTATAATTATACAATTTTCAAATGTACTCAATATATTTCATGATTTTCAAATTTACAATTTTCACATAAAAAGTGGCTTTTGGATTTTCTCGTCGTATCTAATATTATAATATGTTTATGCTCAGCCAAAGCTTAACTATTTTTTTACGACCACCGTTGTTAATATACAGGAGTGTATAACTATTTTTATTTGTGCACTAGGTATACCATTAAACTTGTCCGACCACTCGATGTCATATAAAACGATGTTCACTTGAATCATCTACCAAGCTCTTGGTCCCCTCTAATTTCTAATGTAATTATTTTAACTGCATTTTCCATATTTTATATTTATTACTACTCACTAGGTAATAATGTATAAGAAAGAAAAGTATCTTTAAGCTTTAAACTTAACTCAATGAGTTAAACATATTAGTAAACTTGTCCAGCCTCGATTACATTGCAATATCAATACATATGGGCTATAGTATAATATATGATTACCCAGCAAGGCAGTATGGCAACGTTGCATAAAATAACCCGATGTTGAGTAGGTATATAGTTTGCGTCTACCTAGCAACCATGTCGTTAGATACCCATCAAAAAAAGGCTATTTTGTTAAACTAAAGACAAAAATCTCGAGACGTGTAGAGATTGCAAATGAGTGATCCACGGTTATCAGTGGCTCACCTTGCGATTGATCATAATGCATAACCCTTTTTTTAACCGATTGGTTATTTATATTGTCAATAATTATCATATTACATCTATAAATTAATTGCCATAGAGTTGAAAGAAAATAAGAAAATTAATATAATTGTTATTAGTTATTGACTTATAAGTTATAATTACAGTTCAGAATTACAAACTGTTTTGCTTTAAATTTTAATGTTGACATTTTTATTAAAATATATAGATATTTAAGTTGCTAGTAGTCATTAATAAATTGTGTGGTTAGTTTGTTTGTTGATATAAGCCTATATATACTGTGTGGTTGGATATTATGATATATTATAATATAACTATCTCAATAGATTGACCATGATAACAGTAGGTACAAAAAGAATTAAGAAATAATAATAACTACAACCGAAATATTGGATTTTTTAGATTTTATCATCATTTTGTACTAATCACGTGTAATTCGATTTTTTACTGCAGAAAAGAGATAAATCCGACTATTATAATATATACATGATAGTATAGGTACTGGATTGTTGGATTTAGGCCTTGTTGTGTTTCTAATATAATCCCTATATACACCACCCCTCCCCGGCTCCCCCATCTGACAATCGCGTTATGTTTTAGTTACGCTTAGTTAGCAGTTTCACTGAGACACTATAAACCTATAAACGGTGCGAGACAAAAATCGATTCTAATGCAAACTGCAGACGCAGTTTATAATAATAAAATTCTTATTTTTCGTATACGCTGATGCAGATGTTATAATAATATAATATATTATTATATGAATGCAACCGATTTGTTTCCTTGCATAGTGTATACATTATATTATACTGTTGTTATTATTAACGTCATATAGACGGTCCTTGGCCCATCTGCAGGGAGAAATGGAGAATACAATATTATGTCATGCAGTGCAATAATAAGTATCGTCGTGATGGACGATTTCAATTAATTATATAATTTCTCGAGCTTCAACAGCAGACCGAATAGGTGATATTATAAATAAATTAATATATTATTATACCTAGAAGTCTACGTTGTTTATTTTCAAAATTAGTCATTTAATTATTGGGAACCATGGATAAAAACAATAGTACCTATACTCAGGTTCCCGAAAACGGACCTTATGTAATCACAATCAAAACATCACAATATATGTATATGCAACTGTTACGCGACTAATGAGTTAGTTTATTTATTTGTGGTGCTTGTTAAAGTAAACACGACTAATAATATTGCTGCAATTATACGTGTATTACAATATTACATACATTATACGTATATACATATTAATTTTATATCATAACATGGGTTCGATTTATTTAGCTGGGGTTCGCGGGTTGTCGGTAGTGGCAGCAGCGGTCGATCTCTACGAATAATAATAATAATAATAATAGTAATAATATTATACGCCAACGATCAATTTAATAATAATATGCGTCGTGGTTTAACGGGACGGTGATGAGACGGCACCACCCTCATCGTATATTATTCCGGAGAAGACGGCGGTGACGGTGCAGGAGCTGTTTTATTATCGAGGCGAAACAATATTAATGATCGGATCCCCTACCCGTGTCGGCCTATGTCACCACAACCATTATACCAGACAATCATTTTGTGCCTTTTTTTTCGTCTTGCGGTGGACCCGAAAAAGCTATAGGATTCAATCGCTTAGGATTGATGTGCCTCGGCGTATAAATTGTATTTAATGTTTTCGTACGTACCTATATATAGTAATACGCACCACGACTAAATAATTTTATTTAGTTTATTTAGTCATGATAAGCACATAAGCGCGTATCCTGAATTATTGTGTGTGTATGTGAGTTGGTGGGAGGGGGGTATTATATAATTATAAGAAATAATAATAAAGTTCCACGCGTTTCCAATGGGTCCGTAGTTTCCAGACTACCCAATAATAATTGAGATTTAGAAAACTCTACACAAAATTTTCAAAATACACCATTTTCTATTGCTGAATATGCAGACAACCATGGAAACTCATCAACTAATTACTTACCAGGTATGCTTTCAAAAATGTAAGTTTTTTATTTTATGTTTCTCTTCCACGAGTAATTGACTTTATTGGATATTTATAATTTATTTAAAACTTCCAAACTTTATTTACTACGTTATTAATTTCAATTTGTGAAAGTATTTTGTTGCTAAGTGAACTGATATCTTAATAATTAATAATTTATTACTTTGCTTTAAAACTTAAGGGACAAAGATATTTTTGTAAAATCATGTTTAGCTTTTTTGTACCTACTTATTTCATTATGCGATATGTACCTACTTATAGTGTAGAAGAA